CGAGGTCATACTGGTAGGGGAAAGCTGCCTTTATTTCGGGCATGGGGCAGGGGGCGTCGGCGGGCACGGGGACGAGCCTCGCTCTCCAAGTGGGCGTGCGGTCGCCGAAGAAAGGCTTACTTACGTGCTCATTTATAATGGCGCTGCTCTCGACTCCTTCCAGATACTGCAATATAAGGGCCGGATGATTAATACTCACAGACTTCTCTCCTTTTTATTTGTGTCTCTACCTCTTTTTTTTCTTTATCCACAACTAGTTTTTTTTAGGATTCAAACTCACTGTTAGAATATAGAACCTCTATTCTGAAGGAGACTATAGCATCCAAGTCGTGATGTCAGAATCAAAAGCCAATTTTATTTATACCACTAGTTAAAATATTCCATAGGCTCCAAAACTACGATTTTTTTTTAGTATACCAAAGTCTTTTCTAAGAACGTTCAGAATCCAAAACTTTTAAATACAGTACACACCTTTTTTCAGATATAATGCTCGCAGCTATTTTCACAATATATATCATAAAATATGTCATTATTCAAATCATATGTTACTACTACTACCATTATCTCTACTATTACCACTGGTTTTGTTATTCTTTTCTTTTCACAAGGAACTAACCTCGAAGTCAATGTCAGGATTTGGGTCCTCACAAACCCACAGCTTTCCGTCACGTTCCTTGAAGAAGCACCGGCAGTTGGGGATCTTCCTGTTAACATTTTTGCACTCTGAGTATTGTTGTCTTCTGATGACATTATACGAATGATTATCTTCGCCCTAATTTACATTTCTTCTTGCAATATCTGTGGACTTTCTTCCAACTGGGATTTGTTCTTAATGTTAAACTTCCAAGCTTCATGTATCTATTCTCACTGATACTAAAACCAAACCAACTGACTCTATAGCATGTTACCTCTTCATTTAAAATGCCCAAGCTATTGTGAATTACCTTCCTCAATTAGTAACCAAGCCCACCTGTATTCCTACGAGATCTGGGGACAAAGCTAAACACTTGACCTTTTCCTTAAGAGAAACCCCTCCATGCAAAAAAATCGGAGATTTCCCACTAGTACATAGCTTCCCGTCCTCCTCCTCCTCATAAAGTATACGATTTTCAACCCCTCTCACTTTCCTGCCTTCGCTTCCTCCTTCCCTCCCCACGCCCTCCCAACCTCTCTCCCTTTCACGCCTTCCCTCCCTCCCTCTCTCCTCACCCTCCCTCCCTCCCTCCACACCCCTCCCATCCTCACCTCTGATAGTGCCTCAGGGCCAGTTCAACGTGTCCAGGGTCCAGGGGCTTGACGGTGTTGTATCTGTAGCGTCCGCCTGTTTGCTTGCATCCGATGTCGTGTCCTGCTTTGAACATCTCCATCTCCCTGTAGGCCGGCCACAGCCATTTAAACTCACGCCCGTCTTCAACTCTGCAGAAAAATTGGTTTCAAGTTTTAACTATTTTTCATTCATGATTCATACCTCTGTTCACTGTATATAAATCGTGTTTAAGACTATTTATAAATTTATGAATATGAATCGTGGTTAAGACTATTTATGAATATATATATATATCGTGTTTAAGTTTCAGGCTAGTGCATATGCTTTGTAATTTGAAGACAGTAACTAGTGATATGTTTGTTTGACAGCTATAAAGTAAAAGTAAAATGAAAATAGATATATTGCCAAATACTCAACGTAAATTTCTTTCACAACTATTCTCTCTCTCTCTCTCTCTCTCTCTCTCTCTCTCTCTCTCTCTCTCTCTCTCTCTCTCTCTCTCTCTCTCTCTCTCTCTCTCTCTCTTTCACTTTCTCTCACACACACGCAGTAATAATAATAATAATAATAATAATGTTAATAATAATAACAATAATAATAACAATAATAATAATAATAATAATACATGGATGAAAATACTAACTCATAACTTTGCGGGACTGGATATGAGGAAAACTTGACTTTGTTGGGCGAACAGATCGGAAGTCTTCTGAAAAGTGGCACATTTATAATCTTCAGCTTCGATATGATATCAGATTCTGCATTAACAATATTTCAAAATTTCAATGGCTAATAAAAAAGCGAAAAAAAAATGTATATACAATGTCATTATATTGTCTATGAGCATTTATACACAATTTTCCTCGTCGTTCGCCTCACCTGCACGGTCTCAGAAGGCGTCCAAATCTTGTGGTTAACATCTCGTGCTATCAAGAGAATTTTTTTTTTTTAATATTAATTTATTTATATGAATATTTGTTTTTTTTTTCTGTTAAAAGACTTTAATGTAATAAGAAAGAAAAAAGGCGTATACGCAATTTCCATTAAAGATGAAAGGCTAGATTTAAATGCTAAACAAAAGATAAAGCTGCATTGTTGACACTTGTTTTACTGCAAGCATTACGACTATGCAGCCTGCACTGCACAGTCCCGAGCACATGAACGAGAAACACCACATAAGCTCATGCACACACGTGGCGGGTCCCTTCTGGCTGACAGAGAATCGGACGAGGT